CCCCGCCGAGCCCCTGGGGCTCACCGGGACACTGAGTATGGGGTGCAGGAGGGCCAGGACCCCACCCGTGGGAGCCATCAGGCCCAGGACCTGCCCCCAGCCCTGGCTGACAGCATCTTCCCTCAGCCCAGGCAGCCCCCCTCACCCCTCCGGGAGCCATGGCCCAGCCGGGCAGTGAACTGGGGTCCCCGCCGATGGCACCCACATCCCCTGAGCTGGAGTGCCAGATCTGCTACAGCCACTTCGATGCCCGCGCCTGCAGGCCCAAACTGCTCCACTGTGGCCATCGCCTCTGCACCCGCTGCCTGCGCAGGATGGTGTCTCCAGGCGATGCATCAACCCCCCAGCTCCGCTGCCCCTTCTGCCGCCAGCACAGCCCAGTGCCCGGCGGGGACGTGCAGCAGCTGCAGGATGATGGCGAGGCACTGGCACTGCTGACAGGCCGTGAACGGGCCAAGAAGAGGGGTCCACCCCGATCCCCGGAGGTCCTCCTTTGCCCTGGCGTGCTGGAGCCCACATCCAGTCCCGACTGCCTGGTTGTCACCATCCTGGAGGTGCCGGAGGACGTGGCCCCACCGGAGAGCCTGGGCAGGCTGGAGGTGGTGCGGCTGTACCGCCCCACCAGCCTGGGTGTGCTGCCCTGCCACGGCCCTGGGCAGAAGTGCCGTGCCTGGGGGTGGCGAGCCATCCCCCGCTTCATCCTGGGTGTCCTCTGCCTCCTTTACTTCAGCTCCCTGCCCTTCGGCATCTACCTCCTGCTCATTGAGCACCACAGCCTGGGCATCATCCTGGTCAGCCTTGTGCCCTCCACCCTCCTCCTCTGCATTGTCTACAGCCTCTGCCAGTGCCTGTGCCTGGAGGTCTTTGGGTTCCCCCACTCCTGACCCTGCCAGGCCAACCCCTGTGCCTGTGCCAAGGAGGGTTTGGGTTCCTTGGAGTGTTGTCCCTTGGGGTACAGGTGTTTCCTGATCCACAGCATGCCCTGCCTGGACCACAGGGAGAAGCTCAGCGCCTGGTGCCTTCCCATGCAGAACAGCACTGGAATTTCCATGTGGGAGCCCACATCTGAGTGGCTGCAGGAGCTCATTGCAGCCTACAAGCATTTAGGCTGGACCCTCAGCTCCTCATCCTCCTCTTCCACAGCGGACAAAGAGCAGGAGCTGGGCTGAGAGCAGAGCAGCAGCTGGGAGATTAATCCCAACTGAGGCAGGCGAGTGCTGGGCGCTGAGCGCCGCGGCCGGAGGGGCCCCGGCAGGAGAGGGGCGGGCAGAGCCCGGGGGCTCCTGCGGCCGGACCGGCCCCAGCACGGCTCCGTGTCCATAGTGTAAATAGTTCTGTCCGTGGCGCCCACGCTCCTGGCGGGGCTGCTCCCATCGCATCCGTGTTCTTTTCCCATGTGTGAGTCCCGTGTTTGCCGACACTGTGTCCCGGAGAGGGAAGGAGCAGAGGAGAGGAGTTTCTTTGGTGTGTAAAGACGTCTTTGCAGCTGTTTTGTAGTCGTTGTGGTTTTTATGCGAAGCCTCTGGGCTTTATTTAACCTCCTTGGGTTTTGTTTTGTAAGGATTAATTTAACACCGCTAACCATTTTATTACTTTTATCGAGAAGAAAAAAGTCTATTTTTACTCTCTGCCTTGGACCTGCCCTGTTCCCCAGGGACTGCTTGCAGCACCACTGGCACTAAAGTTCCTCACATCCCTGCTGGCACATCTGCATCCCTACCAGCATCCCCACCGAGATGCCACATCCCTACCAGCATCCCCACCGAGATGCCACATCCCTGCCAGCATCCCCAGCAGCACCCACACCAGACAGGCAACACCAGGAGGCCCAAAACAGTCACGTTTATTATCACTCTATGTCCCTCCCTGCCCAAATCTCCCACTCTTCTTGGCTGGGCAGCTGCCAGGTCCCATGTCCGTCTGTCCTGCCATGCCCTTGGGGACAGGACATGACCAACCCAGCCCTACGCCTGCTCCAGGACCACTGGCAACCCCGTTGGACATCCATCCTTGTCAGGGGGAGATGCCAGCATCGCCTCCACACTCCAGATCTTGGGTTTCTGGAGCTGTTTGCCCTGCCCAGGGCTTGGCCCTACTTCAGGGCTGCCCCCACACCCATCCTGCACGGGGGTGGAACTGGGAATGGGTTCAGCAGCTGGTGGGACCCCCTCGCCCTCGCTGTCCTCGCCGTCCGAGGCGCCGCGCGTGGCCCAGCCTGCCTTGTTCTCCTTCTTGAGGCGCCGGCGGGCGTTGGCAAACCAGGTGGAGACCTGGGTAAGGCTCATCCGGCTGACCACAGCCAGCATCACCTTCTCCCCCTTGCTGGGGTAGGGATTCCTGGGGTGCCGCGCCAGCCAGGCCTTCAGTGCCCCGGTGCTCTCCCGCGCTGCTGCCGCCTTCGCCCGGCCCGGCTCCATGGGCAGCCCCAGTGGCACCTCGTAGGGTGGGGAGACCTGGAGGGGCAGAGGGGTGTCAGGGTGGGATGGGGTAAGGTGGTAACACGGCCAGAGAAGAGAGGCTGAGAGATGTAGGGGCTCCTACATCCCTTCGTGTGTGGAAGGGAGCAGAGCCGTATCCTTTCCCTCTTCGCCCTTTCCCATGCGGATCCTGAAATGCTGGGGTGCGGGGGGGGGGGGAGGGGAATGCTGAGGAGGTGCAGGGGACTTGGGGCAGCAGATCCTCAGTCCCCACCCTAACCACCCCACACAGTCCCATCCCAGCCCTGGGAGGGTCCCATGTCCCAACCCTCCGGATCTGCAGCCCTGTACTTACCAGGGGCGTCAGGAGGCTCATGGGGGGTGACAGGAGGCTGTACCCAGCCAGCATGGGGCAAGGGCAGGGGTAGGCGCAGGGCAGTAGGGCTTGAGGGGGTCCCCGCAGGGTCCCCCAAGGCCCCCCACAGCTCCCCAGCTCTTGTCCTGGGCTCCTCTTGCCCCGAGGTGCTGCCATGCTGCAGGAGAGGAGCTGGGGAGCTACTCCCGGGCATTTTATAGCTGCTGGGGTCCGCAGTGACTGACAGCTGATTAGGGGGTATTAGCACCCACGAGAGCAGCAGCAGGATCTGGGGCACCCAGTACCCCCCCCGGCTACTGTTGGGCAGGGACTGGCAGGGACTGCCCTCCTCGCCTACCTGCCACTGGCCAGGACCCTGTCTCCAGCCCCCCAGCTCTGCACAGCTTACATGGCCCCAACGGATGGAGTGCAGTGGCACCCAGGGGCTGGTGCTTGGGACCCACGTGAGCTCCACAGCCACAGGGACACAACACACCTGGGGCTTTACTGCAGTGCCCAGAGCATCAGTCCTGCCCATGACCCCAGCCCTGACCTGGTCCTGAGGCTGGGGTCGGTAGAGTCCCCCATGCTGTGGAGGGCTGGGTTGGAGGGCCAGGGGCTGGTGGACTCATGCCTGGTGGGAGAACAACCCCCCATATTGCCTTGTCCTGCTCCTTCTGTGTCTTGGCCAAGTCCTCACCCAAGCTCCAGCACTTCCACGTCTGCTGCTGGATTCCCGGCAACAGAGCAGTGAAGGGAAAAGGTCTTGCAGCCCCAGGGACAGCTGGGGATCCCTGCAGGCACGGGGGGGGCTCCTGTGGCTTGTGCAGCGGGGGCAGCGGGTGGGCAGGGCAGTGGTGGGCAGCTGTGAGAGGGGCCCCGAGAGCCCACGACCCCCCGAGCCGCCCGCTCCTGCTGCCGCTCCTCCCTGCTAAGACTGGGATTATCCCACAGGTTGTATCCGTCATTAAATACCGACTAATAACGCTCTCAGGATATTAAATATGTAACAAACCCGCTTAGCGCTGGCCAGGACGGGAAGACGAAGGTCACTGCTGCTAATGAGCCTGGACGCACCCCTGGCAACAGCAGAATGTCCCGGGGCTGATGTGCCAGTGCCGAGGGGTCCCAACCCCCTGCAGTGCTCCCATGGCCAGAGCCCCAGCAGCACCTGGAGCTCTCAATAAGCATCAGCTGGAGCTCTGGTCCCGTCCATCCCACCGCGCCTGGTCTTGTGCCCTTGAGCAGCCCCAAGCGTGGAAGCCACAGGGCAGCTGAACACTGGTGCTGGCTGGGACCTGCCCTGGCCACGGCCCCGCAAGTGGCCCCATAACCTTGTCCCCACGGGACTCCTCCAGCCCTAATCAGTGCTGCAGATCCACTTGATTAGATAATGGGGCTGTAATCTAGGAAAGCGCCTGTGGATTGCTGTGGCACACCCTGACCCTGCACAGCACAGCTGGAGAGGGAGGGCCACAGCCAGCCGCCGCACACAGCTGGACACCGACTGAGCCACGGCCGGGCAGGCACAGCCACGCACCAGCAGCATTGGGCATGGACAAGGCTGGTGTGAAGGCAGCGGGACGGAGCCACAGTCGGAATGAAGCCACAGCTGGGACAGAGCCACAGCTAGGGCTGGTCACCACGGGGGGCCACACACACCTCACTGCCCTGGTGGTCAGGGGGTCAGCCCACACCCCCCTGCCCCTGCCTGAGCAGGACAGGGAGAGCCCATCACCGTGCCCAGGGATTGCACTGCCCCCGTCCCAGAGCTGTGGGGCTTGGGCCTCACAGAGGCTCTCCCCGAGGCTGGGTGGTTCCCAGCCTTTTCCCCCTCCGTGGATAATCAGTTTAATGCAGGAGCAGAGAACTAAAACTCTGCGATTAGCTGTTATAATCGCATGTAAATACGCCCAGACAAGCCGCTCAGGAGGGCGGTGTAGGGCTCCGGACAGAGTTACACGGGATTTAGGCTGTTTACCACTCGATTAATTTCATGACTCCAGCCCCAAGCCCACTGCTGTCCCAGCTGCCCAGCTCACTTCCCAGGAGTCAAGGTCACTCGGACGGGAGGCAGCTGATAGCCCAGAGTGTCTGCCAGCAGCGACGGGCCCAGCACAGCCCTGGGCTCTGGGACCCCTGTGCTGCAGCCCCGGGGGATGTGCTGGGGAGACTGGGCTGTCCCGTCCCCCCTGGCTGGAGCCCAGACCCCCAGGCAGGCACACACCCAGGTCTCCATCCCTTTTTATTCATAAGCGTAGTCAAAGCTTGAGAATGTCACAGCTGAACCCCTCCCACAACCACCGATGACCAACACCAGAGTCCATCCCCTCTTCAGAAGAAAAATAGAGCATCTTCCACCTCTGCCTCCTCCTCCTCCTTAGGTTTCTCCAGTCCAGAGCCCTGTTGCTGCCTGCCTGCAGGCTGGAGATGCCACGGGAGGGTCAGCTGCTGGCACAGTGGGACCACAGGCCCCATGGCTGTGGGGAGCACGGTGCTGTGGCTGCACACACCTCGCCTCTCACATCACACCACACAGCTGTGCTTGGCCCCACGGCTCCCCCAGGACCCTCGTGTGCCGGGCAGACACCGATCTGTGGCTGCACACACAGACAATTCAGGAGAAGGGGTTTCAGACCATCAAGTGCAACAGGCAAAGAGACCGTCCACACACGGGCTGCCCCTGCAGCTGCTGAGCAGTCTCTGGGGGGATGCACAGGACCCCACTGGCACGGGGCCGAGCGGCAGCGTGTCCATGTCTGTGCCGCTCCGGCTCGGGCGCGTCCCTGACGCAATAAGGCAACTGCTGGCTGGGGCTGCTGCCGGCGTGGCCGCCTGCCCAGCGCGGTGCTCAGCCCTGCCTGGTGCTCAGTCCTGCCCGGTGCTACTCTGCCAGCGTGATCACGTCGTAGTGGATGCCCGGCTGCAGTTGATGGATCTGCTCGGCCGCCGCCTCAGCGCTGAAGACGCCCTGGGCCTGGGCCATCGCTGCATCTGCCACTGCTGCAGGGAAAGAGGGGTCAGCATCACCTTGCAGGGTCCCCCCTCCTGCTCCCAGGGAAGGGACACACGGCCACCTCGCTCCTGTGGGGCTCATGCTCTGTGGACCAGGGAGCCCAGCTCTGGTTAACTCTGTTCTGGAACTGACAGGAACTGACAGGCTGGGATCAGCAAAGATCCGCCCTTGGACACCACGGTTGGCAGCAAAACAGCAATCCAGGCTCGCCTTCCCAGTCCTCCCGCCCAGGGCCACTGCACAGCTCCCTGCCAGCCCCAACCACTGCTGCTGGCAGGACTGGCACCCCAAGCCCTGGGAGGACTGGCCCCTTCAGCCCAGGGCCCTGCTCCTACCTGAGACAGCCGAGTGTGCCGCTGCTTCCAGCTGTGCCTGGGTGACGAGCTGCTGCTCAGGTGACACGGGCATGTACTGGATCTGCACAGGGGAGAACAGGGAAGGCTTGAGGGAAGGGGCTCTTCTGGAGCTGCTCTCACCACAGTCGCTGCATTGAGGTACTAGCCCATGAGCACCGTTTCACATCGCCCTCTCCAGGCAGGCTCAGGGATCACCTCACAGCAGCCCCTCCAGCTCCTGCCTGGCCCCTTACCTGCGACTCCGGGAGGAACTGGCTGCCCTGCTCATACTGGATGTGGGTGATCTGACCATCCTGTACCTGGGGACAAGCGGTGAGGCTGCATTAGGGCTGTGACTGTTCAGGCCCCCAACAAAGCTGTGACCTGAACTGAGTAAGCTGGAGGGGGCCCAAGGGGGCTCAGCCCCACACATGGCACCCTATGAGCCCCACCCACCGTGTGAAGGGAGTAGACAGCCTGAAGCTCACCTGGATGTGATGTCCCTCTGGGACAACAACATACTCCTGGGGAAGCAAGTGTGGGACGCCTTCCTGGGCAATAATGTATTGAACCTGCAAACACAGGAATTCAGACCCAGGAAAGATCACCACTGCCCACCTCCCACCACCACGGGGCTGGATCTGTCTGTCTCCTGTGCCTGTTTTCACCACCCCAGTGGCTCCAGCTCTCCCTCCTGACCCCTGCTGTCCCCACTGCCACCAGCTCTCCCAGCTCCCATTGGGTAGAGTCCCTCATCCGTGGGCTGTGTCCCCTCACCTGGTTGTCAGCGGTCACTAAGTGCTGTACTGTCTGCCCGTCTGCAGTCGTGATCTCCTGGATGTAGGCTGCCTCCTCCTGCAAGGTCAGTAAGTGCCCCATGTGGTCAGGGGGGCTGGGCCTGGCTGCAGTCCCCTGAGAGGGAGGTTGAGGCCGAGGGGTCCGACTCACCTGGCTGGTGACGCTCTGCTCCTGTGTGACAAGGATGTGCTCCTGCCCCAGGGCCTGCTGCAGCCTCTCAGGAGCCAGCACGGCCTGGCCGGCCTGCAGAGCTGCTGCAATGCAGAGAGAGCTGCTGGGGACACCAGTGGGGACACTGCCAGGGCTGCCCATGGCCCCACTCCCCAGAGGCTGCTCCTGGCCCTGACCCAACTCAGCCCTGCCTGGCCCACAGGCTGGGTGAATCCTGCACAGGGTTCTGGCTGCAGGACACCTGCAGGTCAGTCCTGGTCACAGGGACACGTCTTACTGTGCAGGGTGGCCAGGGTGTCCTCATCACTGTTCAGGATGATGGTCTGCTGGGCAGCAGCAGGCCCTGGCCTCTTCCCCTCAGAGCTGTGCAAACGCTGCGTGTGGAACTTGAGGTGCCCATTACGGTTGAACCTACGGGAGGAGCAGAGCAAGGTGGAGTTTGCCACAGGACCCTGTACTCTCTCAGAGACACAGGCCACAGGCACGGCCCATCCCAGTTCCTAGCATGTTCCCATCAGTGCCCAGGTACTGAACCTCCCCATGCAGAGCTTCCTTGGGGATGAAGCTGAGTCCACCTGCAGCAGGAATTGTTCCAAGGGCAGAGTCCCCTCTAACAGGGGCTGCTGCTGGGGAAGGGCTGGAGCAGTGAGCTCTGCCAAGATCCTGTCTCTCCTCTTGAACCTTGCAGAGCTCTGTGGGATCTCCCAAAGCAGGAACAGCCCTGCTCCATCACTCACCTCTGCCCACAGACGTGGCACGCGAAGGGCTTCTCGTTGGTGTGGGTCAGCATGTGCCTGCGCAGGTCCTTCTTGTTCTTGGAGGCAAAGCTGCAGTGGGGGCACTTGTGTGGCCGGAGACTGGCGTGCTGGACCATGTGGCTCTGGGACAGGAGGACAAGAGTCAGGATGGAAACACCGTTTTCCCAAACCCCTTGTTCCCAGGGCTGCTCTGTGCCAGGGAACCTACCTGGACCTCTGGCCAGAGCGTGGCAGTGAAGTTACAGTCGGGACACTTGAAGGTGCTGGGCCCAATATGGGCTCTCTTGTGACTCTCCATCTCTGCTCTCCCTGTGAACATGGCTGTGCAAATCTTGCATGAAAACTTTTTGGCTGTGGAAATCTTGCATGAGAGCTTCTTGGCTGTGGAAACTTTGCACGAGAGCTTCTTGGCCATGCCTTGGAGTACAGGCCACTTGACCTTTGGGGATGAGACTTCCTGCCCCTCGGAGGCTGGGGATAAAGACGAGTCCTTCTGGAGCTGCCTGGTGACACACTGCACCAGGGGCCACTTGACGTCGGCGGGCTGAGCCTCCTGGCCCTCCACAGGCGAGGGAACTGCAGCATCCCCGCTGAGGGGCTGCGGGAGAAACACCAGTCACACCTGCTCACACTGCTGCCCAGGACGGGGAGCAGGCTCAGCTCCTTACCTCCACAGTCTGGAACTGGCTCCCTGGGACACTGGATGACATGATGTAATGATTGTTATGGTCCTTCAGAGCCTCCTCCGTCATCACAGCCCCGCTCACCACGACTGCGTGGGAGGTCTCCACAGGGCTCTCCTCCTCACTGCTGGAGAGGACAGGGTCAGAGAGGCCCTGCCTCCTCCTCCTCCTCCTCACCACTTAAAGCCTCCTCACTGGAGAGCAGAAGTGCCTCCACCTCCCCACTCCTCCCTTACAGCTGACCTGTACAGCGTGCCAGGGGTCTGGATCTCCTCACTGATGGGTGCAATGATGCTGTACTCTGCTGTCCCACCAAAGGGGATGGTGATCTGCTGCAGCTCCGAGCCACCTAGGCTTGCCTCCCTGTAAGCCTCCTGCACCAGTGCCTGCCCAGGCTCTGCCATGTGCAGCATCACCAATTTCTGCTGCTGCTGCTCCTCTGAGTCCACCTTCACCTCCTCCTCCTGTGCCTGTGGCTCACAGGGGCCTGGTGTCTCTCCTGGGTCATCTGGCTTCACCACTGCCACCTGTGTGAGACAGCGGCTCAGCCAAGGGGAGCAAGGCTCTGCAAGACACCCCTGCAGAGGAACAGGGTTGGGAAGCCTCCCTTTGCCACCCCCCAGCAGGTCTGGCCTCCTCAGCCCTGCTCACCTGCAGTGAGCCTGTGGCCAGCTCTCGCTGGGCGCTCATGTTCAGCAGCAGATCCAGGGCTGCCTGTGTGGCCAGCTCTGCTGATCCAGCCACATCTGGGGGGTGGATGGAGAGAGTCAGGTAGGTGCTTGCCCACCTCCTCCCCATTCCAACCCCTTCCTGGGAGCTCACTGACCTTGTTCGTAGATGATGGTGGCCCCTTCCAGGGAACTCTGTGAGAGGACAGGGGGTTCTGCTCCTGTGACAGCCTGGACCGTGTGGCAGGTGAGGGGGCCAAGAGGTGCCTGCATGAGAGAGGGAGCTGACAGCACGGCAGGCAGCGAGCACCGGGAGGAGCCGGGGCCGGGCACGGCACTCACCTGTGGGCTGGCCTCCGGCTCAGCTGGTGCCTGCACCTGGCTGTGCTGCTGCTTGAGCTCCTCGATCTGTTGCAGGGTGAAGAAGGGGCGGCGGCGGCAGGGCGGCTCCTCGGGGTGCCGCTGTGCCCACTCCTCGAAGGAGTCGGCGTGGCGGCACTGCACGTGCAGGCGCAGGTTCTTCTTGTGCTTGGTGGTGAAGTGACAGAACTCGCAAGCGAATGGCTTCCCTCCTGCAGGGCCCAGGAGGGGGAGTCAGGCACAGGGTTCCCAAGGGATGGCAGGGAGAGCAGGCAGGCTCTGACCTTCTCCGGGAGAAGGGGCGGTGCAGGACACTGGGCTCCTCTCACCTGTGTGCTTGACCGCCATGTGTGAGACCAGGAAGTCCTCCCGGAAGGTGGAATACTTGCAGATGCTGCACTTGTAGGGCTTGTCATTCATGTGTGACAGCTGGTGGTTCAGAAGGACCTTCTTGTCCTCGCAGACATAGTCACAGAACTCACACTTGAACCTGGCAGGATAAAGCTGCCCGTCACAGGGGCTGAGGGGGAGTGGGACACGGGCTCTGCCAGGGCACGCCGTGGGCTATGCTGGGCTCCCACCTGCGGTTGGCGATGGCCTGGATGTGTGTCAGCAGGTGCATCTTGAAGGTGTAGCGCTTCTTAAAGGACTTCCCACACTGTGGCGGAACAAAGCAGAGCAGTGTTCACCTCCTGCCCAGCCCCACCCACTGCCAGACCCTCCCCAGGCTGCGTCTCCCTCACCTTGTCACACATGTGAGGCTTCTCTGTGCTGTGTGTCTTCATGTGCTGCGTAAGCCTCTTCTGCATGGGGTAGACACGGTTGCAGACGGGGCACGGGAAGGAGTTCAGCTTTGGTGGCTGGATGGAGAGCATGAAGATGAGCTCACCTAGACAGGCTCACCAGTTTCCTTACCCTCTCCCCCACTGCAGGACCTGGGCTTCCTCAAGAGATCCACAAACAATGCCCTCAACAAGGCACCGAGAATTTGTGGAAGACCCAGATGTGCCTCTTCCCATATAACAGTGATGAGAAACAAGCCAACAGGGTACTCAAACTCACCGGATCAGCTCTCTTCTTCCTAAAAAAAGAAAGAAGAAAAGCCCCGTGTGTGAGCCACACCCCAAGTCTGAGCCGCCTTTTATCCAGACACCAAAACTCTCCTATTTGGAAAGGGCCAGAGGTCAGGGGAAGGGGCAGCCACGGTTGCCCTCTCAGGGCAGGAGGAACAGTGTCAGTGCCATTCAGTCCCCAGGACTGTGCTTCCCTCACCTGTCCCGGTTGTGCACCGTGGAGTGCCGGATGACATCCTTCTTGTACACGCTGGTGTAATTGCACTCCTCACACTTGTAGGGCTTGCTGCCCACATGGTTGAACATGTGCTCCTGTGGGAAGCAGAGCAGGGCCGTGAGACCTGGGGCTGCCAGGCACCCTTGTGGATTTGGAGCAGGGCAGACGGAGCTCACCTTGAGGGAGGACCAGCGCCGGGAGCGGTAGCTGCACTGCAGACACTTGAAGAGCTGTGGGTCGTTGGCCTCGTGCGAGTTGACGTGGAAGCGCAGATCGTCGTGTGTGAGGAACCGTGAGCCGCAGATCCGGCACAGGTACGGCCGCATCAGGGGCTTGGGGGACTTGTAGTAGTACCTGCAGAAACAGGAGCGGGACTCAGAGCTGCGGTGGCCAACGGGCTGGACCAGCCCTGGGCAGAGGCCAGAGGGCCCAGCACACCCCCCTCACCTGCGCCCCATGTACTTGCGGTATTTCTTGCCCAGGAAGCGGCGGGAGGGCCGCCCGCGCCGCCGAGGGACAGCGTCTGCTTCCTCAGCACCCGCGTTGGAGGAAGGGTCCTTGTTCTCAGAGTCGGACTGGCTGATGCTTGGCTCCGCCGGGCTCTCACCGGTCCCATTCTCCAGGCCAGAGGAACTGGATGCCTCCGACTTCTGCAGCTCACGGCTCGGTGTGCCTTGGGACGTCACCAGGGGCTCCACCTCCCCTCCTGCTCCACAGAGCACAGCACGGCTCCGTCACACCCCCGCTGTTGGCTCCGGGAGCTTGTGCACCCCTCCCTGCTCCAGCACTGCTGTTGCCTCCTCCCTCACCTTCTGGCACATCCTGAGGTATGTTCTCCAGGCGAGGGAGCTTGCGGGGTCTCCCCGGGCGTCGGCGCGGCCTCTCCTCGCTGGACGTGGGGACAGTGCGGCCATACTTGGGCTGTCGCCCCCGCGGCTCATCCTCAGCTGGGTTGTAGTCACTGTCCTCTGCAGGCAAGTGCTCCAAAATGTCAGACCGAGAAGAGACTAAGCTACTTAAGATGTGGGGAGAGCAAGTCCTACCTTCAGGGTCATCAATAGCACCAGCATCCATGATATCATCATCTTCTTCTTCTGGGGCCTCCTCCTCCTCCGTCTTTGGAGCAACTCCCCCTTTTCGTGGTCGCCCTTTTTTCAAAGCCAGAGCTGAACCCACTGTCACAGAGAACAGGGAGAAAGCTCTTTTACCAGACTGTGTGCCAAAACAGACCCTTATGCTCCAACTCCTCCCTTGTTTCTTCCCCAGAGAGCGGAGCCTGTCTGCAGCGAGGTAAATTTCCCTCAGCCCTTGGCACTCACCTGGCTGGAAGTGACGTTCTTTCATGTGGTTAATCAGCGTTTTCTTGGAGACGCTCTTGTACTGACACATCTTGCACTTGAACTGCTGCACCACCACCACCTCCATCATCTCCTCCAGGGTCTCCATGTCTGGCTGGTTCAGCTCCTCCCCACCGTCCGTCTCTTGATCCTGCTCTGGCTTTATGGGCACCTCCACCACTTCCAACCTTTTGGATGGGCCTGAAGGGCCGGGCTGCTCAAGGCACGTGGAGGTAGGTCCATCAGCAACAGCTTCTATCACCAAACTATTGGCCAGAGCAGATGTAGCCACCTGGGACACCATGGGAGCACCTGAAACACCAAAAAACCGCTCAGCCCAGGGGCAGACCCTCACTTGCATCCAGGGCTGCACCCGCACCGAGGGCACAGGGCTGAACACGAGCTCAGGGATGGCTCCTGACAGGACTGTGGAACAGGTACTGTGGCGGATCCAGCTGGGATCCCCCCTCCAGGCCCCACTCCAGTAGCACAGGCTCACAGACAGAGCCACCCACATGGACAGCCCAGGTTGCTCCCTCACCATCATCAGGGCCTTGCAGAATGAGGTACTGGGTGGTCTCTGCCCCTCCATCCTCCGCACTGGTCACGGCGATGCAGCCTGGCAGGGAGAGCAGAGAGGTGACTGCCAGACCCCAGGGCCACACAAGCAGGAAGGTGTGAGAAGGGTCTGGCTCCCTGAATGGAGCCTGTCTGGGCTGAAGGAGCAGCTGTCCAGCAGCATGAGCTCCTTGTCAAACCCTCCAGCTACCGCTTCTACTGCAGAGAAAACCCTGCTGACCTCTTAGACTCGATGATCTTAAGATGTTTTTTCCAACCCTAATGATTCCATGTCCATATTTCCCCCCACCTCCCGAGTTCTGGCACAGCAGCAGCCCCCTTCCAGCCCCCCAGGGCTATCTCCAGGTGGGAGCACACACTCACTCTGGATGATGTCCGGCCCGATCGTGGACTCAATGATTTTGTCAATGGCAGAGCCCAGGTCTGAGGAAGTGGATGCAGTGGAGTCTGACACGACTGTGGCTCCATCAGTGACCACACTGGAGTGGACCAGGACTTGTGGGGACTCTGACACCATGATGGACTGGCTCACAGTGGAGACACTGGAGACCAAGGTGGATTGGGCGATGGAGGATGAGTCTGGCAGGTAAACCCGGGGAACGACATCTGTGCTGGAGCTACTCTCCGAGACCTCTTCCTGGCAGAAGAAAAATAGTCCAGCTCAGCTGAGACACCTTTGCCAGACCAAGCCCCTAGGGCAGCCAACATATGCAAATGACCCGGTGTATCACTGCAGAACTGCCAGGAAAGGCACTAGAGCAAATCCTTTGGTACCGACAAGGACCTGGACTTCCAAGGCTGTCCTTGCTACCAAGGGGAGTCCTGCTGCTCAGACTGGCAAGTACACACGAGATCAGAGGTGTAACAGAGCCTGCCGAGGCCGCAGAGCTCAGTCTGCCAGAAACGCCCAGAGAAACCCCCAGGAACCAGAACCACGGCCGCCTCCCCGGCGCCTACCAAGGAGACCCCGCTGCTGTCAGAGCTCTGTCCCACGGCGGAGTCATCGGCGCGGGAGAGGCACCCGGGCCCCGCGGCGGCGTCGGTGCTGTCCGCCGACACGGCGTCCGAGCTCCCGACGCCCAGCCCGCTCTCGGTGGGCTCCTCCTGCGCCTCCTGCGGGGCCGCGTCGCTGCTGCTCTCCACCGCATTCTCCTCCATGCCCGCCCTGCAGGGGCCCCCTACGCTCGACCTGCGGGAGGACCGCCGCCGTCAGGGCCGCCGCCCGCTCTCCGCCGGCTCCAGCCCCCGCGGGGGTCCCGGATGGGCGGGCGCGGGGCCCCGGAGCGGCCGCCGGCCCATCCCGGGGGGTCCCGGCGCCGCCCGGTGCCCCGGTCCCGTCATGCCCCGCGGCCCCGCCGGGCCCTCGGCCGCCATCTTTGCCGCGGGGTCCCCCCCGCCGCCTCCGCGCGCGCGCACACGGCGGGGCGGCCTCGGTGCCGCCGGGGCGGGGGAGCTGCCGCCGCGCCGCGGAGAGGGGGCCCCGCCACCGCCGCCCGCCCACCGGCCCGCGCCCTCACCCGGCCCGCCGCGGCCCCGCCGCGCCCCCGCCGGAGCCGGCACCACGGCGGCCGCCATGGCCCCCCGCCCTCGCGCCGCGCAGCGATACGGCCGCGCGGACCCCCTGGGCCGGGACTACTTACCGCCGCCCGGCCCCCGCTCCGCCCGCGGCGCTCGCCGCCGCCTGGGCGCGCTCCTGGTCCCGGCCGCCGCCGCCGTCGCCTCCCGGCGGCGAACGGCGCCGCCCGCGGGAGCAGGGAGGCTCCGGCGTCCCGCCGGGGACTACTTTCTCCGCGGAGGGCTCTCGGCGGCGCTGCGTCTGTGCGTCATGGCGTCAGGAAGCGGCGCCCGGGCCCTGAGCGTCGGCGTCGCGCCGGGTTGCGCTGGTCACGTGACGGGGAGGCGGAAGTGGCGGGGCCGGGACCGGGGCTCGGTCCGCCCGCTCCGCTCCCGCCCGGCCCGGGCCCCCGGCAGGGGCTCTGCGGTACCGGCCGGCCCCGCCACAGCCTGCACCCTGGGCGGGCCGTGCAGCCCTGCCGCTCCGGTTCCTGTCCTGTAGCCCGCGGTGGGCTCTTGAGACCGGCGCGCCTCACGGGCGGGCGCCGCCCGTCCCCGGGGCGACCCTGGCCCGGGGCCTCGCCGTGTTCAGCCTCGGCGGCCCTCCGCTGGGCTCTCGCTCACCTCATTCCTCTCCCCGCGGCGGTTTGCCCCTGCCTAGGTGGCAAAGGACGCCCCGTTGCTCTGCCCTGTCTGCCCGTATTGGGGGGGCACATGCGAGGGGGCTGCTCTGGGCTGCCCAGGGGCACCTCCTGATGCCGCAGCATTCCCGCAGGGATGCGCTCAGAGCTGAGCGCGGTGCTGTGCCAGATCCTCCAGCTGAGCTCAGCTTGCATGGCCTGGGCTCAGCCTCTGGACAAAGCCCTGCTCCGTGCTGATGTTTTTACGGAACCCTGGTGTTTAATGTTTCTCATGTTGCAGTGCTCTACTAAGAACGGCTCTATCCCGATTTTTGTTCTGGAAGAAAGGCAACTGTGTTGTGCCTGAGCTCTGCTGGGCCGAGCCTGGCTGCTGGGCCGAGCCTGGCTGCTGGGCCGAGGCTGGCTGCTGAGCTGAGCTTGGCTGCTGGGTCCCCACGGAAAGGACACAGGCTGTCCAGAGCTGCCTGGACGGAGTCAGCCTGCAGCGCAGGTCGGGGTGGGCAGTGCCACCTTGTCGCTGGCCAGGACGGCCGGTGCTGAGGTGGTGCCAGCTGCAGGAGGACAGACGGTGTCTCATCTGGCGCAGTCTGTGAGCGCACACATCGCCTGCCAGAAATCCGAGCCGGGGGGTGTGGGGCTGGATCAGCCCTCTAGATCGGCACTGGATCAGCACTGGGTCAGCGCTCTGCAGCGTTTGGCTGTGGTGCTCTACTCCCGGCTGGCACAGGCAGTGCCCCTGGGTCCAACCCCCCAAGCCCGGGGCTCCTCTGTGGGCGTTCTGCGGGTCCCTCGTGTTCTGCCCCGGAGGCACCGTGTGTCCGGCAGAGGAGCTGCTCCGCCAGCTGCCACGCAAGCACCTCCCGGCTCTTTTTCAAGCTAATTAAATGCATCCTTGAAAGGTTTATGCCCTCATCCATCACCGCAGACAGCAGCGGTGAGCGCTGTCCCCGGGCTGGCCGTGTGAGTGCTCCTGCTGCTGCAGCGCTGCTCCCGCTGCCTTGGGGCCGAGTCCCCCCGTGCTGCTGCCGTCACCAACACGCCAGAAGCCCGAGAAACAGCTGAGGGGTTGGGTTTTTTTTTTCTCCGTTACTGCTCTTTAAAGCAGCTCTGTGGGGGAAGTGGAGCTGGGGAGGACTCACACTGGCAGAGCTCGGCAGTGCCTGTGACCAGCCATGGCCTGGCTCCATCTGGGCTGGGGGAGTCCCTTTTGCTCCCTGTCAGAGGAAGCTCTCTCTGTCTGTCGGGGAGGGGGAGTGATGTTGGAGGAACCCCTGGCAAAAGCTGCCTCCCAGGTAGAGGGAACGGGATGGATTTGTGTCAGACCAGCTGATTTCCCTCTTTCTGCCTTCAGTCAGCTGCTGTGTGAGACAAGTGAAGGATTTTCCCAATGGGTTGTGGCTCCAGGGCAAAGCAGTCTGAGCTCCGGGGGCCTCAGGGGATCATACAGGCCCCCACAGTGCTGGCTTGGCCCATGAAAAGCTGCATCGAGCTTCCCTGTTGCCCTTCAGAGGTGCCCCATGTCCTCTGTCTCGGAGCATTGTCCCAGCAGAGCTTTGCTGCGATGGGTAACCTGCTATTTTTAAAAACGCCGTGTGCCCCTGAGCTGGGTGAGCGGGGGATTTCCAGGGCAGGCAGAGCACAGCTTGGCTTTGGAGGCACGGCTTCTCACTGATAATGCTCTGCTGTTGCAGCTCCGAGCCTGAAACCACTTCAGAGCCAAAGAAAACACAAAAGAGATCTCAGCAAGAGGCTTAAGAGAATCCAAAAACACGCGTTGGATGTGCATCCAAATACCTTAGTGGGGGGAGCAGCAGGTTAAAGGGCCTTTTGGGAATGGGCTGAGGAGACAACACAGTGCTTGTGCTTGGAGGACAAAGTGCTCGGGCTCGGGTGGGGTATGATATAAAGCTGGTTTTAGTGGGCTGGGAGATGGGCTGCACCAACAGGCAGTCCCAGGCCCTGGGGAGGTGTCACAGCTCCGTTCTCTCCAGCCTGGATGTGGCACTGAGAAGGAGATACAGCCAGGCAAGCTGCCACTCAGGCAGGGTGAGAGCATGCCAATGGGTGACCCTGGTTGGGGTCCCGTTCTCACCCTGCTCCAGGCTGCCCCTCCCCAACACAGTTTGCTGACCCACCACAGCTCTTCCGTGAGCTCATGGCCTCGGTCACCACCCCAGAATAGGAGTTTGTGCTGAGCACGGTGCCCAGGGCAGAGCCTCAGCCTCTCCCCCCACCCCTGCAACCCGAACCCCCGACTTCCACCGCCAGTGATTTTGTCATCCGTGCTTGTTTGTTCCTCCTTGTTTCCTTTTTTTCTTTTCCAAGAAAACATTGCTGCGATGTTTATGTAGCTGCAGGGCACGAATCCACATCAAGGCTTGTATTTATATCCCACCTGGGAAGGGCGGTTGCATCAGCACATTTTGTAAAACGTTGAGCAAAGCAGCCCTTGCTGCAGGAAATGGTTTTTCTTCACACCAGATTGCCTCACCGCTCTGTGCCTTCCCAGCAATGCTGGATCATGGAGAAGGCTCCTGGGGTGCTCCTGGGGGATCTCTCCATGCTGGGGTTGCAGTGAGCTGGGATAGCTTCCCACCAGGCACCTCTCTGGCCCCTCTGCCCTGCACCAGGGCTTACTGGGCCACTGGTACTTACACAAGGAGCAGCATCCCTCCAGTGTTGTCTGTTCCTGTTGGGATCTCCACTTCCCAGAGCCCTGGAGTGGGTGGGAGTGCCATAGGATAACGCCTGTGTTCTGTGGCCACCAAGGCTGTGGCTGAAGCCGTGTCCTCAGCCATAATGCCACCCTTGGGCTCGAGCAGGGCACTCCTGGGAGAGGCAGGAGCCACTCCCAGTGGCTCCTGAGAGGCTGGAGGAGCCCATGGAAGCCCATGGTGAGGCCACTTACATCCTCACACAGTCCTCTTGGCACGAGGCAGCTTGCTGGCCCTGGCTCTGCCTGCCAACCTAGAAGGTGCTGCTGGTGGCTGTGCCCTGGGCACAGAGTGACTCTCCCTGTGTGTCCTGTCTGTCCCACAGCCTCCTGCACCCCTGCCCACTGCCAGAGTGATGCCTGTGCCAAGCCATGCGCTTCCTCTCCCGTGTGTCTTGTCTTGCTCCTGTGTTGGAGCCATGGCTGCCATTCCCTCAAGGCTTTGGGACCATCAGCAGCCTTTCCAGGATGCGTTTGGAGCTGCTGGATGCAAACAGCTGGCTCCCCCGTGCCTGCCAGAACTGCTGCTCCTGCTGCTGGATGTTTTTTTCCCCTTCTGGAGGGAACCTGTGGCTTCCTTCCCAGACCCTGAGACCTCGGAGCCACGGTCCAAGGCCACTGGCTTCCACCCTCTCCCGTGCTGCTGATTCATCACTGCTGGTTAGTTAAAAAATGGTAATCAGCAAATTACTGAAATATAAGTAAAATAAACAAGGTGGGCAGAGAACTGTGTGTGTTGCAGGGCCCCAGAGGCCTCGGGTATGTGCTGTGCCGGGCTCTTCCCGTTCCCTGTGCTCACCCCCTGTGCCGGGCTTTGCCCAGATAAGCTCCCCTGAGTGGGGGGTCAGTACCCAGCACTGCCTTGGGGCTCCCAGACTCTGCCAGCCCTGCAGTCCTACCCATGACTGGTCCTGGGGGGCTGCTCTGCTCAGTCCCCCTCCCTCCTGCCCCATGAGAGGAGGTCACTTAACCCCAGGGCTGAGCAGGCTCTGGGGTCTGGGGTCACTGCCCACTCTGAGCAGCTCCCAGCCAGGTGCTCTCCAGCCCTTCTTCCACCCTGGCAGCACAGCAGCTCTCTCCATCCCGGTGCTCCTGCAACCCAGGGGCTGCCTTCCTCCCCTTCCACAATGCCTGGTTTTGAAAGGTTGTGTGGCCATGGCAGCTCCCTGAGGGCAGCCAGGCCATGTGTGCCATTCCCGGGCTGCCTGGGCTTTGTCCATATGCCTGTGTTGACAACTGAGCTGCTCTGAGTTAATTTGGCAGCAAGCTCTAGAACAGTTGTCAAATGTTTTACTGAAACTCGAGCGTGTTGCATCCACCGCCCTTCCTTCTGCTTCGCGCAGTTTACAATTAAATACCACCAGTTTTGCCCATATTCCACCTTCCACAAACCCCCGCTCCTTATTCCCGAGCCTCTCCGTCGCTGGCAGCCGCGGGTTCCTGTCGCCGCGTTGTCCCCTCGCGCGCGGGCACGGGCAGGCAGGTTCCCCGTCATTGTCACAATTGCTGCTCTTCCTGTTTTAGCAGGCAGCTGCCGTGCCTGTGTCACCCTTGTCAGGCACAGAAGCGCTGCCCACCCGTGCTGTGCTGTGCCACTGATGGCCCGGCGCAGCAGCTGTGCCCTCCGGAGCTGGCGGCCACCCAGCCCCGTCCTGCCCCACTCATCTCCCAGCTCCTGCCTCACCCCCGTGAGGTGCCTCCACAGGGCTGATCCTGCAGGTCACCCCAAAGGGGATGCTGAGAGGGTGACAGTCGTGGGGTTACCCACGAGCCCCCCCTTCCCAAAGGCACCGTGAGTGACCTGGACCCTGTGCCCCTCTCACCTGCCTGAACGCCCTGTGCTCCTGCTCCCGGCAGGTGGGAAAGTTTGGTAGAGCAAAGGTTGGTCAAAGCTGGAGGCAGAAGCTGAGGTGGGAGGAGGGTCAAGGGATGGGACAGAGTTAGCAGCATTTGGCTGTGTCACTGTGCTGGCCACTGGCCCTGGTGCCCGGTAAATGGAGCTCTGGGTGGGACCCCAACAGATCTGGGGAGGGGTTCCCAGGGTGTGCAGCGGCTGGGGAGGGCACGGAAGGCAATGTCCTAGCCCAGCGCAGGGAGGTGACTGTGCCACCCACCTGTGTGCCCGGAGCAGGTGTGGCAGCCAGGGGATCTGTCATGTGTGTTTTGCTGCTGGGAGGGGTGGTGACACGGCAGTGCTGGTTTCAGTGCCTGCAGGGAGGGGTGAGCCACCCGGTGACACCGGCCACGTCATCCTCACCCAGACGGGAGGCTGTGGGAGCAGCAGCACGGGGGCTGGGGGGCAGCAGGGCTGAGGGGGCAGAACACCACCTCCTGCCCCGGGCAAACAGGGATGAAAGGCTTGCAAGAAACTGGTGCTGAGGGGTGGGGACTTCCCCAGGTGAGGCAAGGGACAGGCAGGGACAGGCAAGGAGCTGAGCAGGTGCATCCACAGAGCTTGGGGTAGGCAGGGAAGGGGTGCCAGGCTGGGCACTGGTGGTGCTGGAGCGCTGCAGGGCCGTGGCACGTGGGGTGGTTTGCCAGGAAGGGTCCTGGGCCCAGCTGGAGGCTGCAGTCCCAGCCCACGCGGGGCCCGGCGCCGGGGCAGCACATACGGGAAGTGTGTGCAGGAATGTTGTTTCTGTCTGGAGCCCTTGAGCAGGAGTGATGGGGCTCCAAGCCTCTGACGCAGAGCTGCTCCCTGTGCCCTGCCCTGCTCCTGTGCCAAGCATCCCCATGCCTGGGTCACCATGCACACCACAGGCCAGGTCAGCCAGTGCTGGGGTGTCGGCTCCGCTCCTTGGCCACGGAATGCTGCAGAGCCCATGGCACAGGAGCAGGGATGGGCTCAGGGCAGGGGGGCTGGCAGCTGCTTGGCTTGGCTGGTAACACACACTGGTGCCCTGCCTGCTGTCTGGGGAGTCTGGCTGTGGCACTGGCTCTCCCTGTGGCATCTGCCAAGTCCAAGTGCTCCCTTCCCTCTGCACAGGTTGTGTTCCCTCTGTGACCAGCGCTTGATCTTCCTGACCCGGTGCTGTCTCACCCGCACAAGATGCTGACTCTCTCCCACTCCACTTCCCCTTACCACTGCGCTCCTGCCCGGCCCCTCACACTGGTAGAGTGCCCAATGCCATCCACACACCTGGGCCTGTCCTCCCCTCCTGTGCCCCCCTGAGCCCTGCCCAGGGTGCCCAGCTCCTCAGTTCTCCAACACCTTTGTCACCCTGGTGCACCCTGTGGCTGCGGCTGTTCAACCTCTTCCCTGGCCAGCTGGTGCCATGTTCCCTCCCTGGCTGACCCTGCTCCTGCTCGCCTGCACAAGAGGAATAAAGCTGGGGAGGGTCCATGCTCTGGCTCCATACAATATCCCCAATTGTCACTGCTGGCCCAACCAGCACTTCCCAGTAGGAGACCTGAAGCCACACAGAGATGTCACTGTGTCCTGTCAGCCCCTGCCCCGGGCAGGGATACAGGCAGGCAGCCAGCCCCCTCTGGGGTCCCAGACCAGTTTTCCCACAGAGGGTCTTCATGAGGGTGGCCATGAGTAAGGGCGTGGGAAGGGGCTGCGGTGGCTGTTCCTTCCCCTTTTGGGAGAAGTGGTGGTGACAGGCAGCCTCGTGGCTCGGGCAGTGTCTGGGAGGGAGGATGTCTGTGTGGTTTTTTCCATCTCACTTGTCTTTTTGGAGGTCCTGGGAGTAAACAGGGCCACAGGCAGCCCAGGCTGGGCACAGCTCCTGGGGTCCCTGCCAGCCACAGCCCTCCCTGCCTGTGGCACCGCCCCTGGTCACCTCTGCCCTCCTCTCCCTCCATCTGCAGCATCCCTCCACATGTGCCCGTGCCAAGGGACCTGTGCCTTGCCCCAGCTCCCAAGTCGAGCTGGCCCAGGCAGCCTCTCATGGGGTTCATGCCAGCAGTGCCAAGCCCATCCCGCAGAGTTCCCTGTCTGGTATGGAGGGTGCCAGCACTGCCAGACACGGGGGTTTCCCTGCTGCCCTTGCCCTGCTCCCTGCCGAGCCTCCAGAGAGTCACCAGAAAATCCCCCGGGATGATGCCAGGAGGAAGCTGGTGAGCGGGACCGTGAGTCAGTGGGAGCGGCCAGGCCGAGGGCAGAGCTGTGGTCAGCAACCCCCCACCGGGGCTCCCACTGCCCCAGGGCTGGCCAGGATGGGGTGCACGGTGTGTGGGGCACTGGTTCTTGGCTCCTCCTGCCATTACTTGCTCCAAGCCCCCACTCTCCTCCCAGCCCCTTTCCTGCCAGTGCTGCTCTGTGCTGCTGGGCCGTGGCTCTGCCCGTGGGATGCCCCAGGCAGCACAGCACCATGGTGTGTTGTGGGGGTGCCATGGCAGTGTGCCCACGCTGTAGGAGCTGTGGCTCCTGCATGTGGTGGAAATGAGGGATGGGAATAGCATGAGAAAGGCCCAGGGATCTGCCACAGCGACAGAGAGGACAGAGCCGGATCTGACCCTCTGGCTGCATCTGGGAGCTGGCATCAAATGTCACCTTTCCTGAGCTGCCCCGGGGGTTCTTTAGCACCCAGCTCCATCAACAGCTCTGTGCTGCGGGCTGAGATCCTGGCAGCCCGGAGAGTGGAGGATGTGGAGCAGTGCCTGCTCCCCACACACCTCAGGATCCATCAGCTGCAGCAGGTTATTGGAGCACTGTGACAGAGCCCCCTCCTTGCCTCGGCTGCTGGCTGGGCAGGGAGCACAGGGAACCGCTGCCTCCTGCCTGGCAAAGAGCTGGGCCATGCACAGGGGCAAGGGGGGCAGGCTGGAGGGGGCAGTGGGGTCCCTGGGCTGTGTCCCACTGTGAGGGATGCTTGGCTGGTTGTGTTTCTCACACCCGACACAGGATGGTGGCTGCCTGTGGAGCAACATCCTGCGCCAGGGAACAGGGGCTGCTCTTGCAGGACTGTGGTGGGGAGTGAGGCAACCCCCTGATTTCTCACTGTTGCTTCCTCTCGTCAGGGCTCACACTACTGGGAGCTCCCTGTGCCGTGGCCCTGAGCTACATCTGCCAGCACCGGGCACCTGGCAGGTGATACTGTCCCAGGGATGATCCCTCCCTTGGGCGTTGGGGTTCCTCTGCAAGGGCACAGGGAGTGTGGCCCCCTCCTCTCACCATCCCCAGCTGTGCTGGGTGCCAGAATAACCTGCTTGTCCTCTGGCTGGGCCAGGAACTGCTGGTTCGGCTCAGCCAGAGCTGGGGTGATAGGGGGGAGTGGGTGGCTGCTGGGATACAGTCTGGGGTTGTTGGGAGCCAGGAGAACAGGCACCAACAGGAATGGGGGGAACAAGAAGATGCTCCTGACAAAGCCAGTCGAGGAGCCCGTGGGGTCCTGTGAGCCTGGGTTAGCGAGAGCTGGGGCAGGGGATCCAGCCTGGGACCTGTGTCTCAGGCAGCATTGCTGGGCTTCAGCAGCCCTCCCTCCCCCCCGCTGACGCTGCGCCTTGCTCTCTGCCATCTGTTTTCCCCTTGCTCCTCATCCCTGTTTGCTTTCCCCTTCACCGCTCCTGTTCCCACAAGCGTCGGCACTTTGGGAGAAGCAGGAAAACACCATCCCATGGCAAGGTCTGTGCTGTGCGGGGTGGGAATCTGAGTCAGCAGCACCCTGCGGAGCAGCACAGGGAGCATAGGGCACCCCCATGTCCCATGGCACCAAGTGGAGTGTCCCCATGCCCAGAGCTGCTCCCAGGCAGGCACTGGCCCTGGTCCCCTGAGGCTCTGCCAGCTGGCTGATGACATGTGGACTTAGAGGTACCATGGGGTGAGGAGCCACTGGGATGTCCAGTGCTGGAAACACTCTGACCCACTGGGGTGATACAGCTGTGGTGGGGACATGGGGATGGATGCAGTGTCCTGGTAGGGGTCCAAGCTTCCAGCTCTTGGGTAGGTGGGTTGCAGGCACTGAGGCTCAGGCAGGGGTTCTGCTGTTGGTTCTGCCCCCATGCCCACCCAGGCCCCCACGGGTCTGCCTCTGGCACCATCAGCCCTTGGCCAGCCAAGCTCAGTGTCAGCCAGTGTGATGACACAGCTGCAGGGTCCTGAGCACCCAGCCAGCCCCCAGTGACCCCCTGCTGTCCCCACAGCCACCACAGTCTTGGGGCCAGCAGGGCAGTGCCCTGTGCAGGGCAGCCCCAGGGTGGCTGTGCTGTGCTGTGCCATGGCCCAGTGCATCTGCCCAGCCACCCTCCCACGGTCCTGTCCTTGCGTGGCTGCAGGATGCAGTGTGTTTAGTAAACAAGGTGATGAAACAGTTAAGGCAGCGATCGGAGGAGCCTGAGTCTGTGTTTCGTCACCGTGGGAAGGGAGTGAATCGGCGCTGAGGGGTCTGAGGGTGACTCATTGCCCTCCTGGCCCATAAATAGGAGCGGGGAGCCCGGCAGCACCTAGAGCAGACAGCGGGGACCAGCACAGCCAGAGCCCTCCTGCCACCAACACACCATGGCACTCCTCCTCCTGGCCCCGCTTGCCGTGGGGCTGCTGGCTGTCTCCTGCTGTGCAGCCCCTCTCCAGGGCAAGCCACAGGCAGTTGTCACCTTCCCGGGGGATCTGGTCAGCACCCTGCCGGATCTGCAGCTGGCAGAGGTGAGGGGAGCGTGGCCCCGTGGTCCCCTCCGAGCACCCAGGATCTCAAGGGGCTCCCGGGGTGGCAGCGAGGGGATGCAGGCAGAGCCTGAGAGCTGTCTCTCTCCTTGAGCCCTGGGAGGTGCCCAGGCTGGGATGGGTGCCTGAGGGTGCCGGAGCTCACTCACCCTTGGGCCACCTTTGCTCCGCAGCGCTACCTGCTGCAGTTTGGCTACACCACGGAGGCGGAGGCAAAGACCGGCAGCAGGCACGTGTCCCTGGGCAAGGCACTGCGCAAGATGCAGAAGCAGCTGGGCCTGGAGGAGACGGGGGAGCTGGATGCTGCCACGCTGGAGGCCATGCGAGCTCCCCGCTGTGGTGTCCCCGACGTGGGACCCTTCCACACCTTTGAGGGGGACCTCAAGTGGGACCACATGGACCTGACGTACCGGTGAGTCTGCCCTGGAGATGAACCCTTCTGCCCGCAGGGCGATGGTCCCAGGGGGATGGAGACAGCCTGAGGAACCAGGTGGGCAGCAGCCTCTGTTCAACCCTTGTCTGGGCTTGGTGCTGCTGGCACAGCTGGGTGTTGGCGCTGCCAGGGCCATGCTGGTATGGCAGCAGCATCTGCTCCCTGATGCCTGGGAGAGCATCTGAGCCCCACACCGAGGGTGGTGGTGGCTGCTTTGCCCAGTCATGCCAATGCTGCTGTCTCCTCCTGGGATGGGGGCACATCCCTGTGCAGAGCAGGGTCATTCCTGCATGAGGAGGGGACCTGGCAGCACTGATCCACTGCATCCCTGGCAGGGTGATTAACTACTCCCCTGACCTGGACCGTGCCGTGATCGATGATGCCTTCAGGCGGGCGTTCCAAGTGTGGAGCGATGTGACCCCCCTCACCTTCACCCAGATATACAGTGGCGAGGCAGACATCATGATCATGTTTGGCACCCGAGGTGATGTTCTGTGGGCAGGCAGGGAGCGAGAAGGGGGCTGGTGATATATCCTTCCTGTGGGATCCTTGTCCCACATCTCTTTGCAGAGGGTTCCTCTGCCCCAACATGTGCCAGCAGGGCTTGGCGGTCTGTGTGCACACCGGGGGCATGAGGGCTCCTCTGGCAAGGCCAGCTCTGAGGGTGCTTTTCCTGCAGAGCACGGGGATGGATACCCCTTCGATGGCAAGGACGGGCTCCTGGCCCATGCTTTTCCCCCGGGCCGGGGCATCCAGGGTGATGCCCACTTTGATGATGACGAATTCTGGACGCTGGGAAATGGCTTAGGTAAGGGCAGGGTGTGGCGGGTCGGGGTGTCTGATGGCACCAGCCCCAGGCCTGGCATTGAGCTGCCCCTCTCTGAGCAGTGGTGAAGACCCGTCATGGGAATGCCAATGGTGCCGAATGCCACTTCCCCTTCATCTTCGAGGGCCAGTCCTACTCCCAGTGCACCACGGAGGGGCGCAAGGATGGGCTGCCCTGGTGTGCCACCACTGCCAACTATGACCGGGACAAGAAATACGGCTTCTGCCCCAGCGAGCGTGAGTAGCAGTTTGGCCACAGCCCCTGCCCAGCCCCGCAGTGCCCGGGGTCCTCCTCACTCCCCCTTGCCCCACAGTCCTCTACACCAACGACGGCAACAGTGATGGGGCCCCCTGTGTCTTCCCCTTCATCTTTGATGGCACCTCCTACGATACCTGCACCACGGACGGGCGCTCCGACGGCTACCGCTGGTGTGCCACCACCGCCAACTTCGACCAGGACAAGAAATACGGCTTCTGCCCCAACCGAGGTGCCAGCGGGGTGGGACAGGGGGGCATGCAGGGTGGGCACGTGAAGGATCTCAGGGCTGTCAGTGTGGCTGGGGCCAGCCCCACTGACATTGCACTGCAGACACGGCGGTGATCGGTGGCAACTCCCAGGGGGACCCGTGTGTCTTCCCCTTCACCTTCCTGGGGCAGTCCTACAGCGCCTGCACCAGCCAGGGCCGGCAGGATGGCAAGCTCTGGTGTGCCACCACCAGCAACTACGACACCGACAAGAAGTGGGGCTTCTGCCCTGACAGAGGTACTGTCCCCTATGCCTGTGTTCCTCTTTGTGCTCCCCAGATCCACGCTGTGCCACCGCACTCACTGTGGGGCCCGTGGTCTCTGGATGGCACATCCTGTCCCATTGTGCCCCACTGGGTGCTGAGGCCGATGCTTTCCCCCAGGTTACAGCATCTTCCTGGTGGCTGCCCATGAGTTCGGGCACTCACTGGGGCTGGACCACTCCAGTGTGCGCGAGGCCCTGATGTACCCCATGTACAGTTACATCCAGGACTTCCACCTGCACCCCGATGATGTCCAGGGCATCCAGTACCTCTATGGTGAGCAGCTGCACCACAGCTGGGCACATCGTGGGTCCCACAGCATGAGGCTGGCCCCACCCTTACAGCCTGCCCTGTATTTGCCCAGGTCGTGGCTCTGGCCCTAAGCCCACTGCACCTGCCCCCACTGAGGAGCCCCAGCCCCTGCCCACGCAGGAGCCCCAGCCAGTGCCCACAGAGGAGCCCCAGCCCCTGCCCACGGAGGCTGGCAGCACCTCCACCACCGAGGAGGAGGAGGAGGAGACGCCGGAGCCCACAGCTGTGCCCATTCCTGTGGATCCCAGCCGGGATGCCTGCATGGAGAGGAACTTTGACGCTATCACCGAGATCAACGGGGAACTGTATTTCTTCAAGGATGGGTGAGCAGCAGCACCTGGCACCTCCTTCCCTGGGCAGTGCTGGGGTGATGAAGGGAGGTGGGGGAGCAGGGGGCTGTGCTGGGGGTGTGAGGGGACAATGGGCTGTGCCAGACTGGGGTGATCAGGATGGCTAACCTTCCCTAATAGGAAATACTGGACCCACTCACCCTTCTGGAAATCGGGCGTCCAGGGCGCCTTCTCTGTTGCTGACACCTGGCCTGGCCTCCCGGCCACCATCGATGCTGTTTTCCAGGACTTGCTCACCAAGAGAGTCTTCTTTTTTGCTGGTGAGCTCTGCCCCCGCCACTCTTGGCCCCAGTGCCACTGGCAGCTGGGGTGCCCCCAGGGTCAGCTGACACCTCCACTTATCTCCCACCACAGGTCGGCAGTTCTGGGTGTTTTCTGGGAAGACTGTGCTGGGCCCCCGGGGGATCGAGAAGCTGGGTATAGGGAAGGAAGCCAACCGCATCTCGGGGGCCCTGCAGCGGGGCCGTGGCAAAGTGCTGCTCTTCAGTGGGGAGAACTACTGGAGGTGAGCAGGACCAGAGAGCAGCAGTGCCTGCCCATGCCCCTGGCAAGGGGCTGGGAGGGGGGTTCTGAGCAGCCCTGAGCACAGCTCTGCTCTCCCACAGGCTGGATGTGAAGGTCCAGAGGGTGGATAAGGGCTACCCCCGTGCCATCGATGACGTTTTCACTGGTGTCCCCCTTGACTCACACAACGTGTTCCTCTACCAAGGTGAGTGGAACCTGGTGAGTGGGTGCCATGTGGATACCCCCAGGCTACCCCAAGCCTTCTGTGGGCAGGGATTGCATTGCCCTGGTCCTGGACTCAGGGTGCTTGGGTGTGTGGGGAATGGCCTTGGGGTAGGGCACACCATCAGCTCCAGAGGGCCCTTGCAGTGGGGCTGGCAGGAAACCCAGCAAGGTGCAGGGTGCCAGGTGCCTCTGCTGCTCGGGCAGCCACTGGGATGGGTCCCCGCATGGCCAGCCCCCCTCTGACCCTCCATTCCCTCTGCCCCCTCCTTGCCCAGACAAGTACCACTTTTGCCGGGGTGACTTCTACTGGAGGATGACACCGCGCTACCAAGTGGACCGGGTGGGCTACGTCAAGTATGACATCCTGCAGTGTCCCCAGCACTGAGGGCCCGACCAGCCACTGGCTCAGCCGGCGCTGCTCCCTGCTCACCACTCCCAACCCGCGGGCTCCCATTTCACAGGCTGACCCCCCAGGGGCCTCCTGGCTGTGGCCAGCCGCAGCCAAGGAAGGGGCTTCACCATGTCCCTGGTAGGAAAGGACAGGGGGTCCTGGGGTCACCTCTTGGGAGCTGCCCAGTTCAGGGAGCCCCAGATGGGGAGCAGGACTCTTGCCACAGCTGGCATCGTGTCACCCCTGCCAGTGCTGGCTCCACAGCACAGAGGCGTTTGCCTGGTGCAAACCGCACACGGATTTGAGACAAATTTGTCTTTTTCCTGAGCCAGTGATGCCAGATTGGGCTGAGCCCCACTGGGAACTGGCGCCTGGGTTCACACTGGGGCGGGACATGGGGGTCTGACCACTCCTGCCCGCTGCCCACTCCACCAACCACCTGCTCTGCCAACCACCCGCCCATTTGTAATAAAGACAATTCTTTGGACACAGCCTCAAGTGTTCTATCAGCGGCTGCAGCCACGGTGCAGAGAACCCCTTCCTGCCGGGGGCATCGCCCTCCCCTGGGCTGGGGTGTGCCAGCACCTGTGGGGAAGGGGGCACTGGGTGGGGGGCTGCCACCAAGTCCCCCTGTGCTAAGGACTGTGGATCCCTCAGGGACACTGGATCTCACCGGGGAGGATATCCGCCGGTCCCAGCATCACCTGCCATCAGCCCTATGCCAGGCGCGGCCCCCTCTCAGGCCCCCCAGGCTGTGGCTCCGCGCATCCCGCCCCCCGCTGCCCTCCCCTGCGCTCCGGCGATGAGGAGCGGGCGGTTGCCACCGACTGGGACACGGCGCATGGCCGGGACACGGCGTGTGACCGGACTACCCACTGTAGCCAGGACCCCACTGCGGGCTGACCCCGTAGAAGCCCCCCGGCCCCGGCTTGTGTCTGCGCGGCCGCAGAGCCTGGCGGCGGGGCCAGGGCCGGGGCTGTGCCCGGGGGTGCCCGGGTCCGCGGCAGGGTGGGGCGGCCACAGCCCCAGGGCCGTAATTAGTCGTAATTAGTGGCCGAGTCTCCGGGCAGGGCGGGGGCAGAGCGCGGTCTCGTCCCTTCCCGCCCCGTTGGGGCACGGTCCCAAGCACCCCCAGTTCGGCAGCGGCTGCGGCTCCGACCGGGCGCGGCGGAGCGGAGCGGTCCCGTCCCGTCGAGTCGGGCCGGCCGGGCAGGACCGAGCCGAACCGAGCCGAACGAAACGGGGCTGGGCCGACCCGCTCGGACTGGAGCCAGCCCTGCGGCCGCGGGGGCGGCGCGGCGGGCGGTGCCGCGGGCACTAGGACCCCGGTCAGCGCCCGGCGGGGCCGCGCTCGGCGGCCGCCTCGGCCGGAGACACTTGTGGCGGCGGCGGGGCCATGAGCGGGCGCTTCACCGTCACCGGCGGCGGGGGTGAGCGCCGGGGGCAAGGGGGGCTCGGGGGGGCTCCGGGGGCAGGGCAAGGGCCGCGGGGAGGGTCCGTGGGGAGGGTCTGCGAGGCAGGGCAGGGTCCGTGGGGAGGGTCCGCGGGGAAGGTCAGCGGGGAGGGTCCGTGGGAAGGGCCGGGCCGTCGGGGCACCACGGGGGGGTGCGGAGTGACGGTCGGTCTGTCAGGCCCCTCGGAGGTGGTGCGGACCCCCCGGAACAGGGATGGCGTGGAGCTCTGGGACACGGGAGATGGGGGGTGCAGAGTGGGGAGTCGGTTTTGGCTGCCCGGGCAGGACCCCTCATCCCGACATATTTCCCGGGATCACCCCTGTTCCCCCAGGGAGCTCTCCTGCTCTGTCCCTGTCCCAGGGGCTGTCGGAGCGAGGAGGCCCTGCTCCTGTGGGACTGGCAGCGGGATGAAGCGGGGTTATGGCTGGGGGTCGGCTGTGGGTAAAAGGCCACAATGCTCCCTGGGGAGCCACGGTGGAGGGTGGCTGTGGCCAGGCCAGGGTGAGGGTGTGGGGAAGGCAGGCTGTGGTCAGTCCATGGTGGCCGCCAGGCTGCCGTGGACGCAGGCACTGGAGCTGGCAGCCATCGCCTCGCGGTGCTCAGGGGACGTGGCGGTGGGGCTGTGCTGTCACCAGAGCCGTATCGATCCCAGAAAACCGGCCGACGGCAGCACCGTGCTGCTGGAGCTGTGACCTTGCACCCTCGGCGAAGGGCGCGGGTGGGAGGCGCGAGCAGCCGGATGGGCGCCATGGCCCCCGGGCTGGGCTGTGCCCCCGGTGGTGGGCTCCGGCCCGCGGGGCCCCTGTCTGGGATCCTGCCATGGTGGGCAATGTAGGGCTGGACCCACTGGCAAGGAGGTGCAGGGCCACTTGTCACCCCGTGGCATCTGGGGCAGCTGGGCCTGGCCCGTGGGCTGTGTTGAGTCAGAGCAGACAATGAGGAGCTGGGGCTGTGGCTGAGTTCTGTGGCCCTCCAGGAAATTGGCTTGGCAGCCAGTCTGCTGGTGTGGGGCTGCAAGGAGCTGGGGTGGGCACGGTAAGCAGCCACAGTGGGAGCGAGGGACACATCCTCCTGTCTGAGCTGTGACCTTGTGCCCTCCCAGAGGACAGCCAGTGGCTGGCCCTGCTAGGGGTGCCCAGGACCCACCCTACGTCGTGGGGTGGTCATGGCCATGGCAGGGTGGGTGCTGAGGGGTTGGGCAGTGTGCAGGGAGTCTCCAGGCTGCCTTAGGTCATGCCCCGTGTTGCTCCACTGCGCCGGGACCTTGGATACGACCTCCTGGGGGATGGGTGGGAGGGGATATATGGGGCTGGCAGCTGCGGGGCTGACAGGGGCTGCGGACAGCAGCGGTGCCGGGAGGGACCGGCCTCCAGTGCTTCCTGGCCCCATCCCAGTGTCATGCGTGGGGCTGTCGGCGGCTCAGAGCGATGGAAATCCCAGGGACCTCAGGGTGCTCCGGGCGCGGGGAGGGGCCTGCAGCCAGCCGTGCTCCCTCTGCCGGAATGGTCCTGGGACCCTCGGGGCAGCCTGTGGACCCCCAGCCCCTCCGTGGGCTGGTGCCGTCCTCAGGGCCCCTTGCGAGGCTCGAGGCCGCCCCCCCGGGCCAGCCCTGCCCGGGAGCGGCCCCACGCTGGTGCTGCTGGGGAGAAATCTCATCCCCGTGCGGACCGCGGGCAGGAGCTGGGAAGGGACCGCCCGGTGCCGGCAGGGCGCGGGCAGGGTACGGGCAGCGCCCCGCCACGGGGGCCCCGGGGCCGGGCGCAGGTCACTGTCGCTGTACGGCCGGGACCGCGGCTGGGCCCAGGTGGTCGGGTCGGGTAGGGACGGGACAGGACGTGGCGGCGCGGGGTCTGTGCGGGGTCTATTCGGGCGGGGGCGGACGGCGCTGCGCGGGGTCCCGGCACCGCCAGGGGGCGATACCGGGACGGGACGGCTCCGGTAGGGGGTGTGTCCCGCCAGACCCCGCCCCCTCCCGGCCCCGCCCCGCCCCGCCCGCGGGACCCGCCGGTGCCGCCGCCCCGGGGGGACCCGGTCCCGCCGCGGGGGCGGGGCGAGCTGGGCCCCCGCGTGACGGGGGATCGATGGGCTCCCTCCGGGACCCAACGCGAGGCTGTGTTCCCCACCCACCCGGGGCGGTGGGGCTGCTCCCCCCCTGCCCCCTGCGCTGGTCGTGGGGCAGCCGCCCTGGCCTGGCGGGGCACCGGGGCATCGCCAGCGCGAAGCCTCTCCGCATCCCAAGCACCCGGGCTCGGCGGCAGTAGCCATGGCAACCAACCGGTTAAGGAGCCTCTCTCGTTGCCATGGAAACCGGTCCTGGTGTCATCCCTGCCGTGACTCCTGGTGCTGGAGGAGGGGGGGTTCAGCTGGGGGCTGTGGGGCCATGGGGTCGTGGGCCATGGGCGATGGACAGGGTTTTGTGGGGCAGCTGTGTGAGGCTGGCTCTGGGCAGGAGGTGAACTCCTGGGGGGACTTGGATAGAGTAAGGACCTCACCAGCCCTGGCTGCACCCCTATGCAGGGCCACTACCAAGAGTGACCAGGGTACAGGGGATGGGGCAGGGCCCCCACTCGAGGCACAGGGCACAGAGAGGTGCATGTGAGAGATGGGGACTGCTAAGGAGCCTCCCCTGGCCCCCCATCTCCCTCAGCTCCTGGCTTCCCCATTCAGCCACTGAGGTCAGGTTTGTGGCAGATCGGGTGCCTTTGGGGTGTCATTAGAAGCACCAGGGGGCTGTGCCATGGAGGGGCCAATGATATGGGGGTGGTATGCTGTTGGGGGGGTTGGAGCAGCTGAAGCCCCATCTGCTGCTTGCACCACCTTCCCAAGGCCTCTCTGTGCCACTGAACCCACCACAAGTGGTCCAGTGGGGTGCCAGGGTGGGGGTCCTTGCACAGGCTGTGGTGCTGGGTGAGAGGTGCCATATTGGACACAGGACACTCCAGAGCCTCATCAGCCGATACCACACCCAACCCTTCTGGCGGTGGCCGGCGGTGGCTGTGCAGCTGCTCCTTGGCCATCACTGGGCCCTCTGGCCCTTGCTTGGCAGCGGCTGCCTGGCATCCCCAGTGTGCTGCGGCCGGCATGAGGCTGCCTGGGGGCTCCTCAACTGCGTCGCTGGGAGCAGGGCCTGGCAGGAGGAGGCTGCTTCCACTGCTGATCCCTGTGCCAGGCTGCCCGTCTGCCCGCTGCCACGGCCCTGCTGCCGGCAAGACATCTGGGCAAGGGCAGCTGGGGACGCTGCGCCAGCTGCGCGTGGTGCTGGGCTCCTATGACGCAGGAGCTCACAGCTCCTGCCTTGCCCCATGGCCTCCTGTCCGCTCTGTCCCACTGCTGCCCTTCTGCTCTTGGCCTCAAGCAGCTACACTGATTCCCGTGGCTCCTCTCCCAGCCCCACAGGACACCGTCCCCCTCCATGTCCTGTCCCACTGATGGAGCTGGTGGCAAGTCCCAGCTGGTGCCCACGTGTCCTATGGGTTCTGTTTTCACCCTGCTGGCAGGGCCCAGACCTGTTTGGATGGGGATGAACAAGACCCCTCCATCCTGCTGAGGTGCTGCAGGACATGTTGCCCCTGGACTCATGGGGCTGTCAGAACAGGGCGGTGTGGGTCACACTGTGATGCAAACCCTCTGCCATGACCTTTGGCTGGGTGTGGGCATCACTGCCCTCCTGCCCTGCTGCACCTACAGGCTTCCCCCACCTCTGTGTGCTCTTGGGATCTCTCCTGCCACAGCCATTCTTTCCTACAGGCCCTCTGCCTGCCCTCACACCCTTGAGCCCCTGGTGTCCCATCCTGGCAGGATGCAGGTGGGCAGGCTGCCGACTGTGCCCGGGGATCACAGCAGGTGGTGCAGCCGTGCTGACCAGCATCTCCACAGCGCGGCTGCCCCATTTTCCGGGTGGCGTGCTGCCAGCTGCCCGCTCCCTGCCCTCAGGAGGTTTCCCAGCACCTCCAGCACGTGTCTCACTCCTGGGAGGTTTGACCGCTGCTGGTGACAGGACAGGGTAGGGCTGTGTGGCCGATGGCCGGGATGC